GTTTTGGTTACAGAACAATATCATTTTCATCCCACCAGAGATTTTTCTATTTGTTTCCTTCTTCTAGAAAGGAGATATTGCGTGCAGAAGTTTAAAGAAAATACACTTTTCCCTCATCTCAATTTTTCTCTCATCGATCTTATCTTCATAATGTTTTAAAATAAAATCAACCATTACTATGAACTTCCCTATAAAATTCAGCAAACGTCCCGCCACACATTCCTGATTACCAGTCAGTATTTTACTGTTTATACATCACACCAATGTTAACCATTAAGTTTTCATCTTATATTTTTTCACATTTTACAAAATTTATCATTCTAAACTCAATGCTTTCCATCAGTATTCTCCAGTTGGAGAATATATCCAATCACATCATTAATTATTTTGATTAGATCTGAAGGATTATTGTTGTTAGAGGAGAAGAAAATAACGGGTTAAAGGCTAAAACAACTAGGCTTTGGTATTGGTATTTAAAGCTGCAAATGCTTTATGGCTTTGGAGATGTAAAGTTCATAATTACATTTAGCATCGTGATCTTGTTAAACTCTCTCTCTCTCTCTCATATCATAGAGATCTTGTTAAAGCTAATAATTTTTTGAATGAAACTGCTCCTATCAGGTTCTGCCTGAACTTCTTCATACTGTTCGTTCGATATGATAATAACCTTAAGGAGTATATTACATGGAAACTTGGAACTTTGAAGTGCGGCGTGCTGCTATTAGAACTCTTACTAAGTTGATTCCCCGTGTACAGGTTGAATACAGTCTTCATCTTCTAGCTTCTAATTTTTCATTTTTTTTTTTATTTTATTATGGTTGTTTTTTTAATTAACTTAGTCAATTTGTTCTATTTAACCAGGTGTCGTGTCACATATCTGCTCTTGTACATCACTTGAAGCTTGTCTTGGACGGGTTGGATTTTTCTCTCATTTTATATTGTTATAATATGCACCATAGAACTTCATATTGTACTTTACTCTTTCCTTGAAAGAAATTCATCTCAATTTTAAGCATAGGCTCAGACCTGATCCAGATGTAATTCTTACATAATTGGAACTTCAATAAAATTTCTTCTTAAAGCACTTTGTACAGGGTTTGGAGAAATCACTTGTCCTCTCTTAGTCCAGTTCAGAGATATGCTAATTTGTGACTGTTTGTTTTCATTCTCTTCTACTTCTATCAAATGGACATTAAATTTATATTTTTACGGAACTCTTACTATTTCCCGAAAGCACTCCCTGAAAATTCCAATATAGTAGAATCCATCTTAGAGAGGCTTAGTTACTTAGCTTCATGAAGCAGAGTTCTTAGGTTGAAATGCAAAATGAATTTGCTTGTACATGTAGAGGCTTACCCGTTTCATTGCTTGAATTCAGTAGCTGAGTCTTGTATATGACAATTGTTCTAGTTACTTTCCACCTTACTCAAGGTACATATTAATTTTACAGGAAATATGATGAGCTTTGATGCACTTTGTTGTCTTGGTCATGCCCTAGGGGAAGACTTCACCATTTTCATCCCTTCCATCCATATAAGCTTTTGTCAAAACATTGGAGGCGGGTATGATTTATATCTTTATTTCCGCCAATAGATACACTGTTAGTGAAGGTGATGCTCGGGCTTATTAAGGATTTCAAGCATATTTTCTTCCTTGAACAGCATAAGGATTTTGAAGATATTGAAGATCGTATCAGAAGAAGGGACCCATTGATCCTAGTGACGGTTGCTCAGGAACAAACTTGTCAATTTCCTGGAGAAGTTAATAGCGATCCTTTGAATGATACAGAGAATCCAGAGAGTAGAGTTGATCCACACAAGCCTCATAAGGTATGTCATATTATTTTCGTTCTTAAACTAGCTAAAACAGTGCAATCACTTGATTTTAAAGTTTTAGCACATACGAGCTGATAACGTCACATTGTTGGTCAAGTCATAGGAAATATAGTTAATTCGTGGTAGAACTTTTTAGTGATGCTGACTAGGAGGATACTGTTTATTGTAGGTGTTATTTGACATGATAACAGTGTTTATTTTATATTTTTATTAACAGATAATTTTGAAATTCTAATTGGTTTTACGACTTTCTTAGGTTAATGAATGCCGAATACGTTCTGCAGGGGAAGCCTCTCAACGCAGGACGAGAGAGGATTGGGCAGAGTGGATGAGACATTTTAGCATTGAACTATTGAAGGAATCACCTGCACCTGCTCTGAGAACATGTGCCAAGCTTGCCCAACTCCAAGTAATTTTCGTTACTTCTATTGCTCTTTGGCATAATTGAATAAAATGATTCTTGGTGATAAGAATTTTAATGCGATTTATGTTTTTGCAGCCTTTTGTTGGACGGGAGTTGTTCGAAGTTGGTTTTGTCAGTTGCTGGACAGAGCTGAACGAGCCTTGCCGAAGACAGCTACTGCGCAGTTTGGAAATGGCATTTTCATCTCCAAACATTCCTCCTGAAATTCTTGCCACACTTTTGAACTTGGTATGTAGGATTGAATTGCATGCGGATTCAGATGAATATTTTTATGTAATTCGATGTACTTCTGGCCATTCAAAAAGATAATTACTATTGGTAAATAAGCACTTTGCTATGGTTTTAGAGTTAACTGCTAAGATGAAATGCTATGTTACTCAACTAAACAAGCAAGGACAACCTAAGTACATACTTTTAATTGCTGCATCCTTTGGCATGTAGAGCTTTACCTTTGATTATTGTCCTTGTCAGACTTTTGAGCAATTATAATTAATCCGAAGTATCTAGCTGTAATATTGAAAAGTTAAAAACTTAATGTTGTTCTGCCAATCAACTTGTGGACTGATTTTTTCAGGCTGAGTTTATGGAGCACGATGAGAGACCCCTTCGCATTGATATACATCTATTGGGTGCCCTTGCAGAAAAGGTGGGATTTTCGTGATAGCAACTACACTCCGTGAGCATTTGTTTATGCTGAAGTATATGATATGAATCTCTCACTATTCTTTTATTTCAGTGTCGTGCATTTGCAAAGGCTCTGCACTCTAAAGAGATGGAATTTGAAGGTGCATGCTCAAATATGATGGATGGCAACCCTGTTGCTGTAGTTGAAGCTCTTATTCATATCCATAATCAATTGCACTAACATGAGGTTGTTCATTACTGCAGTTTAAGTTCTGTATGTTTTTTTTTGAATAAAGAACTACGCTCATGATGTCAATGAAGTTTTAACTTTTATCCAGGCGGCAGTTGGAATATTGACATATTCTCAACAACAATTGAGTGTTCAACTGAAGGAATCATGGTACATTAATCCTCGCAACTCTCAACATTTTCTGTTGGTTGTTTAGTTTGAATGATATTGCTTTTTGTTCCAAAATGCCAATGCCATTAAACTTCAGAATTGACAATCTGGTAATCGTGTGTGTTAAGGAAATAACGAGTCAACTCAATAATAATATTTCTGCTCACATTTAGTCACTCAAGTGAACTTGTGTTTGCCAAGGTATTAGAAACTCCAGAGATGGGATGATGCTCTTAAAGCCTACACTGACAAAGCCTCTCAAGTATCAAGCCGACATCTTATTCTGGAAGCAACACTAGGTGCATATTACTGTAAATTATGTGTGGATGTTATTGTGTTTCAAATTGGATAGCTCCTTTTATGGTTTAAGTTACAAATGAAAGGACGATTTATTGCTAGAAGTGCAGCTCATTCTATGTTTCAGATTCATTTACCGAATAATATTTTGATTAACACTGTCATTTGATGAATGGATTATTTTTTCAAAGCAGAAAAACCACACATCCTTTTATCTGAAAAATCAAATACTTCAAATGCATTTGGTTTCTTGGATGGTCAATTCTCTTCTGGCTTTCCTGCCTCTTTTCTCTGTTCTTATGGGGAGTTATTTCAGCTACTTCATTACTCTAGTGTAATATGCTTTAAAGTAGATTTTATGCTATTATTAAGTCCATTTACAGTAGGACAGTAACTATCTGAGTTCATCTACAGTAACTAACCTGTACTTCTTTATATTCCTGCTTCCATGACTATTAGTATTACATAGATTCTTCTCCTTTGAGAATGGCAATCCGTAGTTTCTCTTCTCTTTCTCTTTCTCTCTCTTTCTTTCTTTTCTATTCATACTCTTTATACACTTTTATGTTGATTTTTTTCTCTCCCTTTTTTATGCACAAGGACAAATGAGATGCCTTGCTGCACTGGCTAGATGGGAAGAGCTCAACAATCTCTGCAAGGAGTATTGGGCACCTGCTGAACCAGCTGCTAGACTGGAAATGGCCCCAATGGTTTGTCTTTGGCTTCAAAATGCCTATTTATCTCATTGTGTCACTCTTGTTTGATGTTTCACTTTGCTCTACCTCATGGAGTTCTTGTAGTCTGTAAATTGTCTTGAATACCATTTCAAATTTGTATGGCACAATTTTAAACCGAACAGCAGATCCCAACGGTTGTTCTAGTATCCATTTTGCTTAAGTAAAAAGTCAATAAATTACATTTGTGATAGATCAAAACCAATTTAACTAGTATCTGTTTTCATGATATTACTCTTATGACATCTATTCTTGCTCTATTTGTTTAGTAAGTGTGTGATCTGTTAATCCAGGCTGCTAGTGCTGCTTGGAACATGGGTGAATGCGATCAGATGGCAGAGTATGTTTGCCGATTGGATGATGGAGATGAAAACAAGCTTGGAGTTTTGGGTAATACTGCTGGTACAGTGGATGGGAGCAGTATTGGGACCTTCTTCAGGGCTGTCTTATTAGTTCGTAGGGGGAAGGTAAAGGTTTAGCTGTTTATCTCCTAGTTTTTTATTCTTTAACAAGGAGATGCCTAATTGCTTTTCTTCTTTAAAAATATAGTATGATGAGGCACGTGAATATGTTGAAAGAGCAAGCAAATGCTTGTGTACAGAAGTGGCTGCCTTGGTTAGTTTTCTCCATCTATAAGTTTATTAAGTAAAAGATGAAGAAGTACTATCCAATGTTGTTTGGAAAGTATTGTCTTACCGTATATCATATTTTTTTTATTGTCTATACTCTATGGCAGCATAATTGGTTCTTATGTGGTTGCCATACTTTTTAATTACCAGGGGTTCATAGTAGCTATATTCCCAAAGCAGAAAAATATACTTCATTAATTATAGGTGGCAAAACTCATGAGATATAGCTGTTGATTTAATGTGGCATGCTTAATATGAGCTGAATGATCATATATATATGCACATATCAAGATTTAGATGGATGTTACACTTAGTATTTATCAGACGTCTGGTGGCTTTGAAATCATATCTGTTTCCCTCTTGCTAGGTTCTTGAAAGCTATGAACGTGCATACAGAAATATGGTCCGCTTTCAGCAGCTATCAGAATTGGAGGAGGTATATGCTCTTGAGCCATTTCATCAACTTTCTACCTAAGCTTATTTTTACATTTATTTTTTTTGGGTGTTGGATTTAAAATTGTTGAAGCATTATGATATGTATAATAGTTGTCTGATGCCCTTTCCGAGTTAGGTCATTGATTACTGTACACTTCCGGCTGAAATCCCTGTTTCTGAAGGGCGTAGGGCACTCATCCGCAATCTGTGGAGAGAACGAATAAGAGGCGCAAAACGAAAAGTTGAGGTGGGACATAAAAGTTGAGGTGGGACATATTGACGTTGGTTTTAGTAATAGAGAACATTTCGGTGGTAACAACGAATCGATAAACACTTCTATTGTTTCTTCCAGTTGGAAAATTATAGACAGTTACATTTTTTTCACGAAATTATTTTAGTTTTTATTTTTTATTTTATTTTGTGAATGATGTGGCATTTCAAAGGAGGTCCTTGGAGATGACCCAGGTT